GGGGGGGGGCGCACAGCAGGATGATGAGCGAGGAAGTGGTGCTGTCGGTGGCCCTCCTCGTGCAAGTTGTTGCCGCAGCCTTACCTGCTTGTTCTAGAGTGTAATAATAAAAGTTTTACGGGGAAAGGAATAACGGCGGGCTGTCTCGTTTATCATCGTTTTAGGACGACGGGCGTGTCTTAGAGTGAGAGTGAAAAAGAGGGGAGGGGAGGAGGCGGGGCCTCCCGTGAGGTCAGTCGCACTTGGTTGCACTACTCACACACACACACACACACACACACACACAGTCTTTGCAGTAGTTTTGATGCTGTTTGTGTATCCTGTGTTACCCGTATCCTTAATAATGCCGCTCGATGCTTCTGATTTACATTAAAGTCACGCTCTATCTTCACTTTAAGGTGAAGGCGGTGGATTTTTTTGAAGGGGGTGGGGGAGGGGGCTCTAGCAACTGCCTCCGCTTTCCTCTTCTATCCTCTCCCCGCCTAACTGTGACACTCATCTTGTTTGCTTTGGTAATGAGCTGAGAAAGCCATCACAGACTCGTTAGCCTGTCACTAAGGGCGGCAGTGGACAAGTTTGATGGGTTTCTCGGATCAAAGGTCAAGCAGGCGCAAGCAGGTGTGCGGCTGGGCGCGGCTGAGCTGGGTGGCTGAGCAGGGTGGCTGAGCGCGGCTCAGTAGAGGATGGAGTATCTCGGCTGTAGGAGGGGGATCTGCGATGTCTCAACTTATTGACAAGCTTAGTCTAGGAGCAACGCTCCCGCTGCTGGTGTACACTAAGGACAGCAACCTTACCCGCAAGTAAGTTCTGTTTGGCTCGACCCGATAACCTCTGGTCGCCCGCCCTATAGTTACGTGACATTAATCAACATATTGAAGGTTGCAAAACACTCTTGCGTTAAAGTATGCGTAACTTTCAAATTTACCGCCCACTTCTAGAAATTCCTATATCGCTCCAGCGCGCTCATGGAGCAGCCCCGCGAAGCTGTCCCATTTGTTGACCCCTTCTCTCAAAGGCATCGCTGCACGGGCGCTGGCTGCTGCTAGGGCTCGGCGCAGTTCTAGGGAAAAAGTGCAGGGAGTGGGGGTTACAGGTGTGTGCCTCCGCGCGCTCTCCTTCAATTATCGTGAAAGCTCCAGGGAGCCAGAGGGGTGGCGCACTCGGTCTGTCTCTCCCTCTCTCTCCCTCTCTCTCCCTCTCGCTCTGGCTGTCGCGCGGGGACTTTATTAGAGTCAAACAGCAGGTGCAGGATACTCAGTGCGTTTCCTCATTAGAGCTTCGGCGGAGCGTATAGGGACAGCACGCATCAGTGCGCATCAGGCGGGTACAGTTGTTATTTCCATACCTGACAATTTAGTCATGTACCGCGATACCGGTGAAAGTTTTTCGTCTCGATACAGACCGCTGTTTCTCACTTTTTATTTTCGATGTTTCAGAGTTTCCCCGCCATCGCTGGCATCCAATTCGTCCTTCCCCAATTCATCCGCCCCTTTGCAGTTTGAAGTGCCTCACACATCACTCGCTCGTCTTTCCGAACCTCGTGACTCCTCTATTCCCTGACTTCGCTGAAAAAACCAAGGTGCTACTACTTTCCACCTTATAAGGTGTGCTCATGAATTTTTGATGATGCTACTGCTTTGACCTCTTCACACACACACACACACACACACACACACACACACACACACACACACACACACACACACACAAGTCGATATAACTACTACTAAATTTCCGTAAAGGACATGTAGGTGCACCTCTAGGAGTTTTGTTACTTTTCAGAGGTACATATTAGCGCCTCTAACGCGCCCGTCTTCGGCTAGCCATGTTCCGCTCGGCGTCCTCCGTGCGCCAACCCCGGCTGCCGCGCGCCCCGGTGCGCAACATGGCCGATGCGGCCCACCGCCTGCTTTGCGCCCAGAGGGTGCTGCGGCGCTGGGCCGAGGACAGGACGCTGGAGCACCAGGAGTTCAAGGCCATGTGGACGCCCTTCCGGGGCATCATGACGCACGTCTTCATCCTGGTCTGCTTCAACCTCTTGAGCATGTGCCGCATCGACCTCTTCATCTTCTACACGCGGGATGCCCTCGACGACTTCTACTTGAACAACCACTTTCCGGAGGGGCCCGTCAATCAGATGATTGTCTTCTCGGAGGTGGATACTGTAGAGGTAAAGCTGACGGCGAGCACTTCACTGCTGTGAGAGGTGGCGGGGGCCTTGTGCTCAGTAACCTCGCTCTTGACTTGAACCTCTCAGCGGCTTTGGAGCTTCGTGGACTACCTGGTGGACTCCACCGGGGAGGAGGACCCCCCCAGCGTCACGATGCATAACCCGCTGCTCGGCAACATCCGGCTGCGCCAGGTCCGCGTCCGCGGCGAGCCGTGCGTGGTGGCGCAGTGGCCCGAGCTCGACGAGGACTACGACAAGTGCTTCCGCTTCCTGAGCTCGGAGAACGAGGACCGGGAGCCCTTCGGGCTGGGCGAGGCCGGCGGTGAGGCGTGGGTGTACCGGGAGGACGAGGAAGGCGACCCGGCCTACGGGTACCTGTCGATGTACCCGCCGGGGGGCTACTGGACGCACCTCCCGCGCGACGACGAGGAGGCCCAGGAGCTTGTGGACACGCTCAAGGTACACTCGCCACCGAGGCAACGACAGCACAACCACTCCGCCCTGGGCGCAAAGTCACCGTCGCCCGGTCGACAGAACAACAGCTGGGTGGACGCCGCCACCCGCGCCGTGTTCGTGGACCTGGTGACCTACAACGCCAACCTCAACTACCTCAGCCTGACGGTCGTCTTCTTCGAGCTGCCGCCCGGCGGAGGCGTGGTATCGCGCCTCGTCACGCGCACTGCCCCGCTAATGCAGTACGCCACCCAGTTCGACGCATGGCGCCTCGGCCACGAGCTCGTGTTCCTCGTCTGCAGCGCGGTGCTCACTGTCGGCGCGCTCCTCCGCGCCCTGCGGCACCTCTGTGAGCTGCTAGACCAGTAGCTACATACGGAATAACTAATTATTGATAGCTATGTAGCTAATAGTTGCTATATTTAGCTACCTAGCTCAACTTTAGCTAATTTGGCTAATTTTTAGCCACTTGGCTCAGTTTTAGATTTGCTAACATAAAGCTACTTGGCTGAGTTTTAGATTGGCTAACTGTAAGCTACTTTGTTAAATTTAAGGTACTTTGATAAAATTTAGCTACTTAGCTAAATGTCAAATTTAGCTACTTAGCTAAATGTCAAATTTAGCTACTTAGCTTAATTTTAGCTATTCAGTTAAATTTAGCTACTCGGTTAAATTATAGCTACTCAGCAAAATCTTAGCTACTTAGCTAAAATTAAGCCTCTAAGCCAAAAAAAAAAGTTCTGTCGAGAACGGCCGCGCCCTCCGGTACCTCTGTGCGTGCGGCGTGATGTACGGCCGCGCCGTCCGTCATTCGCACCGGGCCCGGGGCTTAAATGGTCCTGAGGCCCGCGGGGCGCTCTGCGGGGCGCTCTGCGGGGCGCCTCCCGCCCGCCGTCGTTAGAGTGCGCATCGCGATAGGGCACGGCGCCGCGGCCCCCACAACGACGTCATGCATCACCCCCGCCAGACTTAGGCCCCCCTCTGCGCCATAGAGCCATAACTGGCTGAGGGAAACATCTCTGTCGGATAACCTTTATGTCAACACGCCCGCCCGCGTGCTGCTGCTCGGCTCTGCATGGCGTCGAGTCGACGCGCCATAGCGAAGAGAAATATGTGACGTCGCGCAGAATCCTTTTGCCGCCACGTCACTAACAACAGCACCTGCCGCCCTAGTTTCACTTTTGCTGTGTTCTGCTGCAGTGCTTTCATTCCAGGGGGAAGGGGGAGGGGGGGGTTAAGTGAGACTAAAAATATTATAGCCGATGCGCCACCCCTGCGCGCCTGCCGCACCTCGCCCGGCCGCAAACCGGTAACGATCGATAAACGATAAAAATAATTTACGAGGTGCAACAAAGCAGCAGCAGCAGCAGGCCGAAGCTGCAGCCGCCGGAGGGGTCAGGCGGCATGAGAGCAGTTGCGACCCGTCCGTGCGCGTGCATTGTCCGTGCGTCGTGCGTGCGTCGTGCAGGCCCGGAGGGGAGGTGCAGCAGCGCTTGCAGTGTTTGCGCGGGCGCGTGGGCCGCGGCCATCCCCATAATGAACGACGACCCGTAACCGTGTTCATTATGGGAGTGCACGCGGGGGTCTCAATCAGAGCGGAAATGTCAACACCAGCGGCGGCAGCAGCGGCAGTTGCGGCAGCTGCACGTCAAACAGAAATAAAAGCGCGACTGGATGAAAAACGACGGCAAGGAAAGCAGTGCAGCGGAGTACGTGATCTCTTGCCTCTCCCTTTCTCCCTTTCT